ATGTCTGGAGTAGTAGTGGGCGCGTTTTGAGTGCTCGGCTCAATCTCATCAATTGTGTTCGGTAGAGAGTCCCAGTAATGGTCTCGTTCGGTTTGAGCAACTTATAATACACGACACCAAGCTGATCCCACCAAATACACAATATGAGTTTTTTTCCATGAATATTGGGCTTGGCTGTTGAAGCATGGCCAGGTGTCTTCATGATTTCTTCTTCTTTTGGTTATCGTAGTGGATCCATTTTTCATCAGTGACTATACGATGCAAAAAACCCTTTCGTTTTGCCTGGCAAGCAGCATTTCACATGTGAAAAATCGGCGTTCAACGTTTCTCGGCTCTTCAATTCATATGGAATCCCTTGCTTTTGAATCATTCCCAATGATTTCAAACGATATGAAATTGTTTATTGAGTCACTCCTAATGTAAGTGCAAGTTCTTTTTGCGTTTGGCACGAATCTTCATCCAATAATAATGCTTCCAATTCCGCGTCTTCGTACATTTTCGGCCTTCCGCTACGTTCTTTGTCTTCGACGTCAAATTCAGCATTCTTAAACTTTTGAAACCACTCATGACAATTTCTCTCACTTAAGGCAGCATCACCATATGCTTCTACAAGCAATCTATGAGCCTCAGCTGCAGATTTCTTCAAATTAAAGAAGTAAATTAAAAGTTCCCGCAAACGTTTATTCGGCTCAAAACTCGATATTTTCGTACAAAAAAAAAAATATTTGATGCTGATACAAAATCGCTAATATTTCAAGATTATAGTGTTGCCGGATGTCCACAATCTTACGATATGTCGTTTTACATCAAACAATTTTAACTATAGTTTATTATTTATTTAACTATAGTTTATAGTGGCGCCATCTTTTGCAAACGGCGGAAACTTATTTGTACTCTCAATAAAAAATTTGCTTGTGGCAACGACATACATAATATTTATCCTACCGTATAGAAACGCATTATACACATCTATCTGACGGGTATATTTAAATAATTGCAAATTGCTAAGAATACTCTTACTATTGGTAATCTCGCTACTGGACTGTAAGTATCAGAAAAGGATTCTTTTGCTTAAAGCCCCTCGCTATTAGTCTAGCTTTATATTTAATAACCAGGCCTTTCTCGTTTTTCTTCTTCTTAAATACTCATTCACTATTGATGATCTCACAGTTGTCAGACTTCTTGACTATATTCCTGACTACCAGGTGTCATTTTTTATTTCGGTCTTCATAGCTCTTTTCCACATCTTTGATTCTTTGCCTGATACAATCTCATTGTATGTTTGTGGTTTGTCTTCTTCTATCAATAATGTAAATCTACATTCTGAATATAATGATAGTTTTTTTAACTTGTTTCTTTCTATCGTTAGAATGTACCCATATCGCTGAAACAACTCTTCTTGTTTCTCACATGATTCATATCCCCTATTAAAGTTTTCTTCGTCCGTCAATTCCGTTTCATCTGATTCTTCATTTCCATATATTTTAATATTGTTTGTTCACTGTTTTCGTCTTCCTCTTCTACTTCTTTTGACACCGATATTATTCACTTTCTTCTTTGCTTCGCTTTCTTCTAGTAAAAATATTATATCACTTAAGATTTCAATCTTACTATCTTGTTGAAAATAAATTTTATAGTCTTTGATATTCTCGTTGTATCCAACGAAGATTCCTTCTCTACTTTTGGCATCCAATTTTAATCTTTTCTCTTTTGGTACGTGTGCTACTACTCTACATCCAAAAGTCTTGAATATTTCCATGGTGACTTCTTTCGAGTGCTACAATTTAAATGGAGAATCGTTATTCTGTGGACTTGAATCTGTTCTATTCAAGATAAACACTGCTATTCACAACCTCTGCCCAAAATACGACATATTTTTATTATGTAGCGTGATTCTTGCTGTCTCTACGAATTCTCATTTCACGTTCAGCATGTTGCGGAGTATAAATTACGGACCGCTGACATATGCCATTTTCTTCTAGGAAATCAATAATTCTTTATTTACGAATTCTAAACCATTATCTGTGCGTAACGTCGTTATTTTGTTTTCTGTTATATTCTCATCTTTAGGAAACTTGCGATCTTTTGTTTGACTTCTGATTTATATTGTATGAAGAACACGTACTTATAATTCGAGTAGTCCTCTTTTAGCAATAAGAAATACTTCGCGCCTTCTAAGGATGAAGTCTCCATAAGGATAGTTCGCACACGTTTGCGTGAACTAACTCACATGTTCTTGATGTTCTTGATTTACTCTATATTATTTATCTACAAGACAGTCTTTGCACGTACTTGATATTCATCTTTCTTTTATTCTTTTTTGAGTCAACAACTTTCGAACGTGATCATAATTTTGATGTGCGAGTTTTTTATGTCAATCCTCAACAGCCATTTGACAGATTGCATTATTTTTATTTATGGCACACCTTTCCCTTTTTATTTATTAGTTTGTATTTAGAATTATTCGAATGCATTTTATAATTTTTGTCTAAAGTACAATCGAGTGAAAATAAGTTAATTCTTAAGTCTGGTACATGCAATACATTCTTTATTCTTGTTTCGATCCACTCGTATTTCTTCTATTTTTACCGTATCTTGTATTTTAAAAGATTTTTCGTCGCTTATCTTTGTTCTACGTTCATCCATAAATCATCCGATGATCCATGTATAGGATATTTACTCGTTAACTATATATGAAAGTTTGAGTATAATGTGTCGCGTGTGAATGTTGAGTGTGCGTATGAGTCGTTGTCTCGTGCCGACGAATTCCGTGAAGATGGATATCTGTGACGCGCCATAATGGGAAGGGTCATTGCAAATTTTTTAAGAATATTGAGTAGTCCTAATTGAAGTTCTGGACAATTCTCAATGAGCTTTGTCGAAAAGTATTAGCTCAAAGCGATTGGATCAATGATTTGTCATGGGAAGTCATCGAAAATTTTTTGAGAGTATTGAGTAGTTTCGATTGGAGTTCTGCACAGTTCTCGACGAGCTCTATCAGAAAGTATAAGTTGACAAAGCGATAGGACCAACGGTTTTCAAGATAGAGGGCATTTAAATTCTATCACTGAAAATTTTCTAAGTCCGATGTCGAAAAATTTGTAAAGTGTTCCAGTAGTTCTGATTAGAGTTCTAAGCAGTTTTCGACGAGTTCTATCGAAAAGTATTAAGAAAAAGCGATTGGATGGCTATACATGGAAATATGTGCTTTTACAATCAATTTTTCGAGTTTTCTTTTAAATATATATCTCTTTTTTTATTAGATCTGTGTTGGTTTTAATCGCTGAGAACTTTTCAAAATAGATAGAGTGGCAATTAACATGTAACAAAACTACTGTATAAAAATTTTCAAAAAATTTGTATATTTTTATAAATTTGTATATTTTTATAAATTTTGTCAAAATTGTTTTATATATTAGGAACTCTATTCAAAATAAAGCTATTGTATTAAGCTGCTCGAAACTATCTATTTCGATCTCGAATTTTGATAAGAAGTTAGCTCTCCAGTAAAAAAATTGTTTAAAAATTGTTATTAAATGAATCTCGTGTTAAAAAATACAGAAAATTCTTCATTTCATTGAAAGGAAGCAAGAACTGTAATCAGAACTATTGTATTTAAAAATTGATTTTTAAAAAATTTTTTTATGCATCAGGAACTCTAGATGTTTACGAAATGAAGCTTGGATCACTCAGAACTATTCGATCTCGATTTTCGATAAGAAGTTAGCACCTTATTTTTTAAAAATTATTAAATAATAATTATTAAGCGGAACTCTCTGGTTATAAATTATATACACAATATAAATTATATGCACAGCGACAAATAATTTTTAAAACTTTTTAAGATTTTTAAGATTTTTAAGGCGCCATATCTCAGCAATTAGTGGCACCATCTGTTGATCATTAGAAAGATACATTTTTCTTCTTTCAAATGTACCCAAATTTATGCAAATCGAATAACAAATGACAAAGTTATGACATTTCTTCCTAAATTTTAAATCGATGTTGAAATTTTATCATTTTATGGAACAAAGAACAATTTTATGGAACAAAGAACGGTCATTAAATTCAACGCAAAACTAAAAGTGTATCTGAAACATTCCGGTTGATGCAAGTATGGACGCTTGTTTAAGTCGATCAAATATTTTCCTGTGGCATAATTTTTGGATGATAGAGAGTCACTCATTACATTCGCTCAATGCTCATTACGTTTTTTTCGATAGCAAAGGAATTATCCATAAAGATTCTCCATCTGGTCAAACAGTTATGTATATGGCAACTATTATCTCGAAGTTTTGAAGCGTTTGATGACCGTCGTATCCGTTCCGAATATCGAGTTCTAGAAAGTTGGTCGCTGTTGCACGATAACGCGTTATGTCACAATTCATTTATTGTCAATTTTTAGCCCGAAATTAAATCTGTGTACTCAATCATCCTATATTCACCTGATTTGGCTTCGTGTGACTTCTCTTTATTCCCAAAAAATTGAAATTAAAGTTGGAAGAATGCTTTTTCGAAGACATTTCGATCATCCAAACAGCTTCAACATGGGCATTAGAGACAATACCACAAAATGAGCTGGATCATGCATTTGAATCACTTTTGAATCGTTGTATTGAAGTAAGAAGAGATTATTTTGAATAAATAAAACAATAAGCATAAGGATATTTTATTTCTATAGACCCAGTCTTAAAAATTATTTGTTGCATTGTGTAGAACTTTTCGTCTAGTCAAAAGGAAACGGGAATTCTAATCAGAATTCCTGAGTACTATTGTAAGTTGGGGTGTTAACTTCACATACTCGTCTCAGAATAAGAATTGAAAAGAATATAGGTATATAATATTATTTGTTCTGTTCTAATTTATGCAACTGTAATGAAATCAAGTTTGCAGTACATAAAATGAACAAATGAATTTATACGTGAAATTGTGAATAATACGAGCGATGAAAGATATCGGCGTTCTAACGATTTGTGTCACGCAATCTGTCTGTGTTTCAGGTACGGTGGTCCGGATTCGTATCAGGTGACGGAAAAATTTAACATTGATTGGGGCACGTATCTTGTAACAAACAAAAGTATTATATATGCTGCCATTGACGGTCGCGGCTCCGGATTAATGGGTAACGACATGCTATTCGCCGGATATCGACGTCTCGGCACTGTCGAAATTGTTGATCAGATCAACGTTACCAGGTAAGCCTACTGTTATGAAATAATTCTGATTATGAATTTTTATTTTCCAAAAAATTATTTAATATTGATTGAAAGTTAAAATAATTAAGTCTTCCGAATCAATTCTACTAAAATAATAATTTTCTATTTTCATATCGGAAGTTTCAAAGTGAAATTTACTTCTAATAAGTAAAACCTTGAATCCTAATAAGAAAACACAGAGAGAAGTGCCTTTTTTTGATTTTGAGTTTTAATATGTTTTAATATGTTATAATCTAAACTAAAATAAGAAATACGTATTTTTTACGTGCAGTTAGGAGATGTAATCTTTTGAAAAAAATCAATTAGTTTCTTTTGAAGCAAATATCATCGAAACGAATTCGATATAAGATCAAAAAATTTTTTAAATAAAAGTCAAATATTTCAAGAATACTTTATTAATAGTAAAAAAAATGTTCAATCATTGTTATAAAGTACTCTTGGAACCATTTAACTTTTATGAAAACTTCGACAATATTATGTTGTTTCTTTCCGGATAAAAATACAAATCGGAGCGTAAGTCGAATGTAAAGACAAAGTAACAGAAGTGTAAGCAAATGTTCTAAGCAGCATACATTAAACCAATAAAATGTAAATGAAGTGTAAAACGTTTACAAAGCATTTTACTCTTCATTTTTATTGTTTCATACGCTGCTTACATTTCTGCTACTCTCTCTTTACATTCAACTTACATTCCTTCTAATTTTATGCTTTATTTTCGCAAAGGTTTGAAAAAAAACAAAACTAAAGGAGAATTTTATCAAAGGAGAATTTTATCTTTTAAAAGACCTACATACAGGTCCGTGTAAAAAAAAATGTCTTTTATTTTATTCCAAACTAAAATATATCAAAGTTAGAAAGGAACATTTCTCTGCATTTCTGTATAAATAAATTTATTTTATTAAATGTCAGAAAAATAAATTCTCCGCTAAACCCCTTTAACATATCTTTCTCAATTTTTTTTGAAGAAGGATCAAACTTATAGCAAGCATAGTCATATTCCGTATATACATAAAGCATAAAATGCATATTAAATTTACATTTACACATAGAAAACGCGTATCGTTAACCCGAGATTGCCTGTGATATCAACCGCCGAGATAATTCTTGATGATGATGTTAACAAATGAACGCAGACCATCGCAGGCAGAATCTGAGGCCAAACGCGCTCGTTTCCTAGAAGTGTTACGAACAAAGTTTTGCTTTAGGACAAACCTAATTATAGATGAGGCCTCAAAATGACTTATCATGGCGCGAATTTGCTAAGCTCTAAGTTAACTATTCTAAATCCGGTTTCCCGAACACGTCCGAGGACCGTGTTTTCGTTAACGTTTAACGAAGTTCTTTTCACGGCGTAGGCATCTGAGAGAGATAGAGAAGGAAAGAGAGAGCACTGCCACCGCCGCGTTAACAAGAAGAAAATTGCTCGTTCTTTTATCTGAATTTATCGGCTGACCTTCTCCACTGCTGTCGAGTGGGTACGAAGAAGAGTTGCGTTCTCCTCTCGTATTTCCACATAGCTGTCAAGAATAATTTATCTGATGGCAGGAAAAGAGAGAGAGAGAGAGAGAGAGAGGGGGGGCGGGGACCAGTAAGAGTTCGCCATTTATGTGATCATCTATCTTTAAACATTAAACTTCCAATGTAGTGATGAATAATGTCTATTCTACGCCGATGGCGAGATTATATTTTACCATTTAAGCGCCGTGACCGCGACGCCGCGCGCATATAGTATAGTGTAAGCTTAACGTATAGAGCGGCGCGGGCGCGGCGATTCCTCAATTTCATCTCCCGAATAAAATTTAGTAAATAGCAACAAGAAATTAGCGCAATGTATAAAACAAATGTTATTGAATTAGCAGATACTATTGTAAATGAAACGGAACTATACGATAACATTTTCTCTTCGTTTTGTCAAGATTCTATTTTCGTCACTTCCAGAATTCTGCTATTTTTTTTTTAATGATTAGATTTCTTTTCGAATAATTATATTGAAGTAACAACATTAGAAATATTGCAACAGAATTGTTTTCTCATTGTGCATTTCCAAACATTTTAGTAACACTTCATTATTTTTTGTCTAGCGAACTATTTCTTTTTTAAATCGTTGTTTCGTAAAGAAAGATAAAGAGTTCGCATTGTATTTTCTTGTATTAAAACACAGATTACAAAGCAAATAAGAAAATTTAATTGTACGTAATTTTATCTAATTTGTTATAAACAGAAATTTCTTTTTCTCGTAAAAAAAATTGTGGAACTTTATTTTCTTCTTTTATTGTGATAAAAGCTTTTCAGAGTATCGATCTATAAGTGACTAAAATACATAGCTAGAAAAATGTATGATCGAAGACGTAGGGACATTTTTTATCCTAAAAAATTTAGTGACCTATTTTTTTTGCACACTAAATTTTTGCATAAATTTTTAATATTTTCAAATAGCAATAATTCAATGAAAAAACCAACGAGGCGTTTAAAAAAGCTTTTAAAGCTGAAAATCTCTACTTTCAAAATCGGTAATTTCATCTGACTATTAATCTGATCTTATATATGGAGCTATACGGATCCAAATGGATACGTCAAATGTGAAAATTTTGTACAAATTTTACAAATGTCTATGGCGTGAAGTATCGCACAAAAATGCGATTTATATCGAAAGTGTGAATTTTTACCTTCAATTTTTTTTATAGATCTCTGTATAATTTTTTTTCATCGAGTTATTTAATATTGAAGTAAAAAGAGTCCTTTTTGCTTTGTTATTTTTGTTGCGTATGAATATATATAAAAGTTAATAATTCTTGCTTCTGCAAGTTTCCTCTATAAAGAAATTAAAAAATCATTATTTAATATCTATAATGCATTCTCATTTGTGAATTCTTTTTGATTCCTTTCTTTGTAAAGTCAAATTATATGTTTATTACAAAAAAATTAATTATTTTTATTGAAATAATTATTTAGAAATAAATTTAATAGTAATTTAACTTTAAAAAAATAATTCAATTTGCATATTATAATTTAATTTGCATATTATTAATTTAAAATATCTTATTCAATGACATATTGATTATTTCATTAATTTATCCATATTGATTATTTCATTAATTTATCCATAGGAAGATAAAACATCTTTTTCAAATTTTATTATTAATTATAACTTTGTATTTTCTTTTGAGAAAAATACTGTTACTTCTAAAATTTTACACACTAATAAAAATTATTTTACAAAAAGTTTAATTTTCAATGAAGAAGTTGAAAATTTAATTTTCGATCGCCTATATTCAGATCGATACCACAGTGTGCCGATGGTACTGTAACTTTCAAACATCATAACTCAAAAAGTACTCAATAAAAAATAATTTTATTATATTTATTTAAAACATTTTTTAAATTACATTTTTACATTTCAAAAGTTTTAAATGTAAAAATGTTATTGCATAATTATTAAAAACATTGAAACTAACCAATGTCATTATGACATTAATTACAATAATATAATATCATATCACAACACAATATTATACCTTAGCATGAACATAACTTCAATTTCAACTTGCACTGACTTTTTTCACTGACTTCAAAGACAGTGAAGCAAAAGTTGAACTCAGTGCAAGTTTTTTGCACCAGTTTTGTCAATGGAACATTAAACACTGAACTGGTCTTCACAGTGGAAAAACACATTGCGCAGTACGCACCAGTGTTGCACTAGTTTACCCAATGGAAAATATATATATAATAATCATTTTAAAACTGATTTAGGAAGATAATATTTACTTTCTTTGTTATTTTTAATTTATTTTTTATTTCGGTCTTACAATATTATATTCGTACGCATGTAATAAGATCCAAGATGTCAGAATTTAACAAAATTTTTTAAAATTCATTTACAAATATTCTATATAAACAATATACTTTTCTTTTATAAGTGAATGAAATGAAGATTTGATTCTTACAAGAGGAACACCACCAAGGGGGGGATTTTGATACATTTTTGCAGCCTGTTCTTAAGCGAAAAGAAAAACGATATGTATTCGTTTCAGCTATTGGCCTATAGTTTCGAAGAAATAAATTTGTAAAATAATTATTAATTTGAAAAACGTATTGTATAAACAAAAATATCAATATTTTTATAAATTTCATTTTAATTTAATGTTATTAGTTTTAATTACTTTTTAATTGTAATGAAATTTCATGAAATTACATGGTATTATAAATAATTAAACACTCATAATCAAAATAACATTCATTTATGAAATATTTATTATTATCATCATTGTTGTTGTTATTCACATGAATACATAAATAAAATTGTAATGAAAACTATTACAGTTTCTGATGAAATTAGAAATTATGATTAGGAAAAAATAAGTCATATGTTTGTAATTTTCTTCTGATTAATATTAATCAATTTATTAATAATAATAAGAAACTAATTGTGTTTTGTAGACGTATATTGTATGGGATATAAATCATAAAAACAAGAAAAACATAAATATTTATTACATTGCGTGTTGAATTTTTGTTGCAAATACTATAATTTTTATCTGGAAGAAAAGATGCTGTTCGACGTTTAGGAACGTATGACGCGTAGACATGAGATCCACCCGCTTTGAGTACTCACATTGTAAACTTCATTCTATTTTTTTCTCGTTCATTACATAACTAAAATAGAATGAAGCAACGCGTAAGATTGAGCGCTTATATATTGCTTCATTCTTAATTATATAATGAACGAAAAAAAATGTATAGAATGAAGTTAATAGCGTGAGCGCTCAAAGTGAGTGGACCTCATGTCTATGAGCGTTATACACTTCTAAATCGAGTGGCTTTGGACTGCGCGTGGGCCGAGAGATGAGCGGAATAGCAGAAGGTGGAACCAAGTCGAAAATCGGCTAAGAAAATTTTATCGAGCTCTGTCTCCTAATGTGCATGAAGTACAAGCTCCCAAGAAAAAACTCCCAAGGGAAATTGAATCAAATTTGGATTAT